CTCGCGATGAAATACCTCAGGCAGGAACCGCAGGAAGGGGTCCAGCCGCCCCCTCCTGTGTGACCCCGGTTGGGCCGTCTAGCTAGTAGAAGTGGAAGATAGGGGCCAGAGGGGCAGACGACAGAGTCCAATGATGGGAGAACAAAAAAAATATATATACCGGCACTTTATCGGGACACCTACTGTATCTGTTTCATAATGAGCCGCGGAGCGCGAAGCGCGACCTTTTTCCCTTTATCTCCCAGGAGGGAAAAGAAGGCTCTACATACCGGGAGCAAACTTTGCTTTCAGTGACGCACATTTATCGCACATTTCGGACCAGAACGAGACCTGTAGGGCACCGTTTGACGATCTGTTCACTTCTGAGGAAGAAGAAAAATTACGCGCTCTTCGTCACACCGGCGTGGTCGTGCTTCGGAAAAAGATGGCCGTGCTTCACAGGAACATGTGACCCGAATTCGTAGGAGATTGCATCCCCGCATGCCCAGGAGTTGTGGAGAGGTAAAATGCCCAAGCTATCGGAGATTGCACACACACACAGACACGCGGTAGAGTTTCAAACCCTGGGAGGACAACACCATACAGTCGACCCCGCTTTAAGGACGCTCGCGTTAAGGAAACTCCCCGCTTCAAGGAATCTTGTTGTGCTCAGCACCGGGGTCCGACAGAATATACGATAATGGGGTACTCCCATTTTTCTGCCGCGTATCCCCCCTTTTTTGTGCACTGCGGGCCTGCGGGCCGCTCTTTGCACGCACCACGCACCACAGTGAGTGCACAAGAAGCGACGCACAGACAACAGAAGTAGCGAGCGGTCTGCTGCTGCAGCTGCAACTGGGTGCTGGTATGGATAGATTCCTCCCATCTACCGGCGGTCCATCTGATGCCGCCAAAGAAGAGTCGTGCATAACCTCGTCCCTCACCGAGCGCCAGGTTATCTCTCGCTTGGAGGACGTTCGATCCTACAGATAGCGCCCGCAGTTAAGGAACGTCAAAATCGGTTCGAGCCTCACCAATCCCTTCTTTCGGGTCGAAGTACCGGCCCAAATCGTCTATTTCGTAAATGGCATAGCTTCTTCCTTTGGACTGTCGCATCCTCCCGATTCTCTCATTATTCCTTAGACTGCAACAAGTACTTCATATTTTCTTTTTTCTTTTTTGTGATCTCTGAGGACAATCCACATCATCAAGCCCGCAAGAGAGGTGTTGGAGAGTGCCATCAAACCCGTACAACAGCGGAGAGCATATGGTTGTCCGCGATGTGTGGCAGTACTACAGTACAGCACACACTGTGAACAGCAGGGGCCCGGGGGGGGGGGGGGGGCC